TTACGGTCCCTGTTGACGCCGTTTGGAATTCAACGGACAACCCCAAACGATACCGTTTTGAACTTGACGGTTCATTTTTAAATTTGCCCGTTTAACTGTTGCAGTTATCTTTTTACGGCTGCATTTATTGCACATGTCAGTTCAAGGACAACTGTCAGACCACGTTGTCAGATTTTCCAGACTGGCCCACTCACGCCCATTTCAACACCTTCGTTTATTTTTCTCAATTTTGTCAAGTGTTCCACTTCGGCTCCGGCCTTAATAATGCTGCATTACATCTCACATCGACTTCGGCCACAGTGATCCTGTATCACACGTTTTATTTCGGCTCCGGCCATTATGACTCCGGTCATTATATTTTATTATGGCTCCGGCCATTTTGAATCCCATTTTTATATTTAAGCCTAGCTCAGCACTTCTGTTTACTTATACAATTGCACTTTTAAACTGGCATAGTGTTTTACTTCGGCTTCGGCCACTAAGACATGTTCTACTTCGATCCTGCTTACTATGACCACGTGTCACATACTCTACTTCGGCTCCGGCCATTATGACTCCGGTCATTATATTTTATTACGGCTCCGGCCATTATGACTCCGGTCATTATATTTTATTACGGCTCCGGCCATTATGACTCCAGTCATTATATTTTATTACGGCTCCGGCCATTATGACTCCGGTCATTATATTTTATTACGACTCCGGCCACTATGACTCCGGTCATCATATTTTATTGCCGCCCTGGCCTCTATGACTCCAGTCACCATTTTTTATCATGATCTTGATTACACTGTGACTTTGATAATCACTTTTTCCTGTGATTACGGCCACTATGACTCCGTTCATCACCTTTTACTATGATTACGACCATGTTAACTCCGGTCATTATTTTTACTACGGCCACGGCCATGATAGCCCCGATTATATTTAAGACACCCCCCGTGTAATCCACTGTTATCATTCACAAGTGAATGACTTCGGGGGGGAATAGTATAAGGACAGGTCCGAGGTGCCAAGCCTCGGACTGCTACAGTAATTCCTTTATGACCGAAGTGAGGAATAAGTCCAAAGCTTCCCGCTCAATTA